TGCAGTTCAGGCTGACCTTGAGCTCACTTTGTAGCCCAGGCTGGCCTCGAACTTGCAATGATCCTCCTGCCTCAGCCTCCCAAGTGCTGGGATTGCAGGGATGCACCACCATGCCCAGCTTGGCATTAGTTTTTAATGATATAAAATAGTTTTATATTTATAAGCAATTCCTGATTATGTTGCGTTCCCTACTTTGGGTTCCATCTTTTCTTGCAGAATATTTCTACATTAACAAAAATATACTCTTCTACCTTTATAGGAGGAGGAGTGGATCCCACATGATTGTAAGAGCCACTCCTGGCTGAATTGCTGACTGGCTGTGAGTCTGCCTGGTCAGCCTCCTCTATTTCTTTAGGTGAAGACTATAAGTTATCAACTTTGATATTATAACAGATCAATATGCAGTCATATTTTGGCGGAAATGTATTGCCACATTGTTCATTTTACCAACAGGGAAAACCTCAAATGCAAGACTTAGAACAGAATACTTAACTGCATCTTTGTTGGGGAAATTAGGTGGTGCCATTTACTAATACCAGCTGACAGATACATTCTGCTACATCTGAAAATCAAATTATCTGGAAAAATGAAGAGCTGACTTGCATGACTGGTTTATATAATACTCTTATTTTCAAGAAAATATTTAAAGACAATCATATTTATATGTTAAACATTTCTCACACTACATTCTCACTATTTCCACTTGGAACAAGCTCTTGAAATAAGGAAATAATTCCTAACAAGGCTGTGCCCTACAAAACTATAGGCATCATTTGTGAAAAGTTTTCCTGTCTAAGCTAATGTGGAACATATGCCTTACTTTCACATTCACTTGGGCATAATAACTTTACAGATACCAAAGCCTACATCAAACTGTGGACTTAATTTTTTAATACAATATCTGTCTCCTTCCACAGAAGACAAATACTTTATGTTGGAGTACAGGAGGGAAATGTCAGGCCAGCTACAGGGAGACAATCTTCTGTATTTACTCTGGGATTTAAAGATAGTGATTAACTAAGAGGTATGAAAATTACTTAATATCAGAAAGAAGACAAAACCACTTGAAGCAGTATTTTATTCATAAGAAAAAATAGTTTAGTACTAAATAATGTGCCTGGATACTTTAGGTATAAGAAATCCCTAACTGAATTTGGCAAAGGGCTGCTAACCAAACAGATACGGAATACTGTTCATGCATGTTAATCATCTCCCTCAGACTTCTCCCTGGCCCTTGTTTGACTATCTCCAGTATATAGAGATCTCTAGTATATAGAGATCTCAACTCTTGAGTAAATGAAGCATGCTTGTCAGTGCAGCCTCTAATTATATATAGTCAGGGAAATATATATTACCGGTCATACAACTGTGTTGATTTTTGTTATTTAAAAAGAAATCTAAAAACTCAAACCCAAAAGTAGTGTCTACATAGAGGCCTTTATGTACAAACAGGAAAGTGCATTTCAGCTGAGCCTGGTGTATGAAGGGGCTGCGTCACTCAGTCCAGGGTGAAGTGTGCTTGAGGTCAGTCTCAATACTTGAGATAGCAAAGAGCAGCAGAACCCAGCACACCTTCTTGCCCTCCTCTCCACTTTCTTGCTTTCTCTCTCTTGCTCTCCCCGTCACCCTGGTTTGCTTTCGTCCTTACTCAGGTTTTCCCTCTTTGAACAGTAGATGGCTTCTGCTTTCAGATCTCACATCCTCTAGTGGGGGATTTCCCAGTGTCTTCCGGGATTCTGGTACATGCTTCCTTTCATTGCTATTCAGGTAACGTAAACCATTTGTGAAATATCCATGATGTTGATCAAACAGTGGGGTGCACTGATTGGTTTAGAACATGAACATTTATTTCACTTCTGAGACCCAACTATGTTGGTTTTCCTTTAGATTTTATTTTTTGTATCAGGAATCGAACCCGCGACGTCACGCTTGCAAGGCAGGTGCTGTGCCACTGAGCTATATCCCTGGCCCCTGCGTTGGTTTTCTTATGGTTGCTTTGAAAAAAATGACCACAATCTTGGTGGTTAAAAGAACACACATGCATTCTCTTTGAAGTTCTGGGAATGTGAAGTGTGACATCGGTTTTCCTGGGCCATAATGAAGGTGTCAGCAAAGCTTTGTTCTCTTTCTGCAGAGGCTCCAGGGAAGAATCCATTTGCTTGTTTTTTTTTTGTTTCTAGAGCTGCACCCCTTGGCCCTTGGCCCTTTTCTCACTCTTCTAAGCCAGCAGTGTGACTTCTTGTTTTGGTGGTTACGCTATGATCTGCTGTGAGCCTCCCTCTAACTCCCTCATATAAGGAAGCTCGTTCTATGTCCAAATACTGGAGGATAATCTGCCCCTAACTGCATAGTCACATTTGAAAGGAACCACTTTTGGAGCATGAAAAAGCATTCTCAGGTTACACCAATTTGTATCCAGCTATCTTTATGGATCATTATTCAGTTTATTGCATCTATCCAATCATAACATCTACAAGAATGAAAGAAAGAAACTGAACAAATGCTGGGAGCGTACATATCAAATATCTGCTACTGATGTACCTTAGAGGGTGTTTTTGTTTATTTCTTTTTCTGTAACTACACTTCCAAAGCAAAGATACGCCTTGTGCTTTTATTTGTAATTTAATTTTGATGGCTAATTAATCAAGAGTTGTATAGAAAATATTCATGCATAATAGGAAGATGGACATCCAATTGTGATTTGAACTTTGCATGACATAAAATTTTCTATTCTAAGAACAGTGTAGATACTAGAAGTCTCTTTACAGGTTAGTATTAGTGTCTTTCTGTGGTTTGAAGATAGAGTTCTGCATTGTTCACCTGTCAAGAGAGTGAATCAAACAAGATACTTAGTCATGTACAATAAAATAGCTACAAAATAGATCAATTGAAAATGAGCATGTTTTCTATTCTAAAATGTATCTAAAGGGCTAAATGAGTTTCAATCACGGCCTCATATTAAGAAACATATTTTGTAAAATAACGCACATTACCCAAATGCTGTGCTTTTAAGCCTTCACGTGAATGGAAAAACACTTCTTAACTGGGCATGTTCAGTCTAGGTTCTTTTTGTGTGATTGAGCTGATCGCTCAATCTCCCGTTACCTAAACACAGTGAAAATGTAGTTTTTGCCCTGGTTTTAAGGCTCAAATGAAGACGGGACATGTTCCCCGTGTGGTCCCTGGTGTTTGGTCTGGTTGAACAGACAAATGAGATAAACTGTCAGGGAAGCAGAACTATATTGTGGGTGAGAATCAAAAGATTTGCCTTTAAGTCTTGACAGCTGTGAGATGGCAACAAAATTTCTGTACTTTCTTTTTCCATAAAATAGGACTTAACAGTTACCATTTAGGGTCACTGTCATGAGAATGAATTAGCCACAACAGGCAGTGCCCAAAATGGTAGATTCCTTTATCATTGTATTCCTTCTATCACTTGGAAATTAGTTTAATATGAAATTTTATTCTGCTTTTTGAAAAAATTGATATACCAGTTAACAACTTAGACAGTAGTTTCTCTGCCTGCTTCCCTGAGGGAGCTCTGCAATCTGCTGTGTACAATTTCCTGTAAAAGAGTATTGCATTAAAAGCAGTTTAAGATCACCTAACATAACACAGGTATATGTACTTAATATAAATTCAAGCACCATTTTAAATAATTGAACATATCTTAAAGGACTTATTTAAAAATAGTATTAGATAACATAGCACATTTTTTTGAGGTGGGGTCTCACCATGCAGTTCAGTTTGGCCTTGCACTCACTTATGTAGCCCAGACTGGCCTCAAATTCATGGCAATCCTCCTGCCTCAGCCTCCTGAGTGCTAGGATTACAGGTGTGCACCACCACACCCAAGGAAAATGGTATTTTCAATTACGGAAAAAAACCTTTAAATGTTGCACATGATTGAACATTTTAAGCACAAAGTGAGAAACCATATGATAAAATCTACAATAATGAGTGACATGGTAGGGAAATTCAGCAATTTGGACCAGATACAATACAGGTAACACTTGAAGGTTCCTGCATCCCTATGCACTCATTTTTGTATATATCAGTTGAGGTTGAGTTTGTCTACAGACATAAGAAAATTATATAATAACAGCTGCAAAACTAAGTTTAAAAAAACCCATGGCTTTGCTGTCATATTAGTTAGCAATAGTCTGTATCTATCTTCGGGTGGCATACATTAGTCATAATTAAAGTTAGAATGAATCACCTTTAAAGGGTTAACATGAAAACATAAATTCCTATTTATAGTTTTTACTTTCTCTTCTAATTTTGATGCTATAAATAAAAATGGAAAAGTGAAAATCTGACTAGTGGTAATCAAAATAATTACAGTGATCAAGTAAATATTGAAAAACATCTTTTTCTGGAACTAACATAGAAAGCACACAACTTTAAGGGGATAATGAAAAAATCTACAGGATTACTATTTCAGTCTCTTTTTATCCCTTCCTGAAAAGATTGTGAAGGGGCCAATTTAGATTCTAAAATATACAAGTTT